GTTAGGGCTAGGGTGACCCACCAACACACATCACACACACTATAAAAACTCTGCTGTTTTATCACATATTGTTCCTAGCACCCCATATTAGCACATCTCAGTGCGACACGTTATCTCGGCGAGGATCTGTGATCGCCCTGATTGGAGGGCTTGGATTGGAGGGCTTGGATTGAAGGTACCGACAGGGGTGGGGATCCCGCATAAATTGATAGCCACCCGCAGTCTTACGGCTGAGTACTACTTATTTGTGATGCCGTTGGACTCTCTGGCTTCGATGAAGACGTTTGAGGAGTTGCAACAGTGATGCAAGCTTAGTGGTGGTCTTCTGGCGCACAAGGCTCGTTTTCGCTCCAAAGGAGACTCTTCGCGAATCATGCAGGAAGGTGTCCGCGCGGGCGTAATTTTTATGTGAGCAGCGTTATGGCGCTTACGGAACGGTCTTAGCATGTAACCCGAGGTGAATATAGTAGAATTCAAGACGTGTGGAGAATTTCTATTATTTCGAAATCGCGGTACCTATGGTTTGTTCCGTTACGGCGGCTGTTCCGTTACGGGTGGACGGACGTTGCCCACTTTTATATAATATGTGGTCTTAAAACTTTTGGGACCTACTTCTAGAGAAGAAATTGCTCATCCTGTACTTCTTATATACACTCTTAGCTAACCTCCAGGACTAGTTTTGGATGTAGCTCTAGGCCGTGAAGGAGTCTCCAAGCTTGATTGTGGCCGTAAGAACGGACTCACCACAGGCTTTAATTACTTACCTCAATTCGCTATCGTATATAAAGGCCCCTGCAGTCCCCAGTTTTCACACTTCCTTCAACTTCGCATCTTCATTACGCTATGTTCCTGATAGCACTGTTTCCTCCATCGCTTCCACAATGCACCCAACAAAGTCCTTCACTCTATCCATCGGGCTCTCTGCAGCTACCTTCGGCGGCGGGATTCCCACAACTATTCTGCAGGATAGAGCTGTCTCTTCAAACGAACCATTCTCCGGATACGCTGGCGTCGACGAAATACGTCTGAACGATAAGCAATTGTACGAACTTAGGGACACCGGCAACTGTACTGCCTTTCCGGAGCCGTTCCCCAACTTCGCGCTTGAGATACACATGTATTTGTAGCTTTTCATGTAAGTATTTCTAGGTTCGGAATTGGTACATTATCTACAGCTAACGCTGACACAGGGGTAAAGCGTGTGCGTGTCGCAGAGATGAGTAGTGAGACGACAGATATATATAAGTTTGATAGTGTGGAGAAATTGTGGATCTGTATAGAGGCATATTGAGGAGTTGGATAAGCTGGAGAGGGCGGAGTTCTGTAACTTGTGTACATCAGTTGTTGATTAATTTTATCTGTTGCCGACTTTGACTGCCCGCCGTTCGAGGATCCGCCAGTGAGTGTCTGCGAATTCTAAACGGGGGGAGTCACTTTAAGGTAGGTGCTGGTGACTGGGACATGACAAAATGCTCACCGCTGAATCATTCATGGCATAGATCGTAACTCAGTCATACATTCAACCACATCGGACTTTCAACTTTCGTGTGCACTTTCCAAATTACTAGCTACCTTTCTACTAGTATCCGTATTCCCCCAACTTATATTATACATTCATTAACGATACTATATAGCATTATCAAATGCACCCATTCCTGAAAATCTTTCTGCTGCTTGCAAGGCTGCTTAGCGTGATTGTCTCGCTCAAATCCATGCCGTTCAGAATCTCGATGCACCGCAAAACGATTAGTCAGCGGACACCTATCTGCAGCCACACCTTTGCAACCAGCACCAATGAGTTCCTGAGTAGGCCGCTTGAAGGGAGCGGCAAATTCAATGTCCTCGGCATTGTAGAGACAAAGAAGGGAGACATTAGAATCACCTTCGAAGGCTTCAGGATTGAAGATGAAGATTGCGGTTGCAAATTCTACGTGTATGTGGCTCGGAGTTATGCCTGACACGCGGTTCCGAGGCATGCGTTAATAATCACTACATGCCCCCGAAGACTGCTATGCGGATCTCATGCTGTGCAGGAGGTGTCCGGAAAGGTGAAGCAAGCCAGACCGTTTGAGGGGTTTGTGAAGGACAGTTTGAAGTGGTACAGCTGCAAAAACGGTTGGGATCTGATTGAATGGCCATGGGCTGGGATGGATGATGCTGGCTTTTGTGATATGAAATGATAACGAGTAGTGCTCAAAGTTCTGGGCTTGAATTTCACCATCCACTTTAACGCAAACCTATAGGAGGCGTTTGACTACGAAGGTTTTCACTGCAGTGGTTGGGCTTCAAGGTTTCTTGTGACTTACACCACTTCACTTGCTTCTAGAATGACTACTTTATTCCTCAACCCCTGCGCCCAAATATTGTGCATCGACCACATTTCCAAGTCTCAGTATATTTCTCCCACAAAGTAGTACTGGTCCCTACTTGTCAGTCCAACGGAAGCTCGTTCCTCTAATTCATTGAGCATACCCTTCTCCATACTCGACATTCGGCCCAGAATCGAGATCCGTACTGCTTCTACGACCTACTTGGTCATTATCCTGTTTACTCTCGCTGTACACCCTCATCCGCACCCACTCGCTCCGTTAGCTTCCAGAATGACCACTAGTGAATGTATCATTTCACGCAACGATCCATCTTTACTAGAATGTGGTACTGGCTACTCGAGTGCTGGGGTTGGTTTGGGAGACCCTCTGATCGGGAACCATGTATGTACACGGATTGGGAAGAAGCCAAAGATCCTCTTCGGGCTTGTATACAAAGGTGAACAAATGCAGTTTTACAGGGTCAAGCGGGATGTCTGTGACTGCTTGTTCTGCAAGTGGGTTAACATGCGAGAGTTTCCCTTTTGAAGTTTATGCTTTGCTAATATGGGATTCAGGTCGGAAGAGAGCTGCAAGCAGAATCGGACCGAAGTGTGGGCTGTACCTGCGGGTGATAACAAGAAGACATCCAACGACTCGACTGTCATGAACCAATTATACAAGTGATATTTCTGTGATATTTTGGGTAGGAAGGGTGAGTGTATGTTTTTTAAGTGGTTGTAGCTTGTGGGTTCGGGAGTCATAGCGTTGAGTCAAGTTTTGGGAGTCACTCATTTTGTGCACTGACGATGATAATCTCCTTATCCTGCTGCTCTTGTTCAGTTCCAGCATTTATATTTCTCCCTACTCGATGCCCCGCACCATTATATAATAGCAGTCGAAATCGTTCCTTCAATCTACATGTTCAGGCGACATGGGATGAACACTGAGTCACAAAGACGACCGATGGCTTGAATCCGACAGAGAGTATGATTTACAAAGATCACTGGCGTCCATTACTCCTGTATATGATATGCCCTCTTTTCTGTCTGCCTATGGTACTTCCTTCCTCTCTTCTACCCTCCTTCCGCATCTTCGCTGCGAAATTCTGCTAAAATCAGCTTTTACAATTTCCACGACCGTTTCAATCCTCTAAAGACCGACTATGCGTACTGCTGCGCTATTAGCTGCTGTGGCTCTACTTCCCTTCTTTCCCCACGCCTTTCCACCAGCTGTACATAACCACCCGCTCTTTACGCTCACCTCTGAAAAGCGAGACGCAATACCGTGCAGTCAGGCAATAGGCACGGGGACCTCCGAGCAGCTTTTGACTGGCAAAGGTTGACATAAACTCGGAGGCATCGCCAACGGTTACAGCGGCCCGGGAAGCGGGGCGGAAAACACGAAGACCGACTTTCGGATGGATTTTGATAAGTGTATTTGCAGATTCTTCCGGTAAGTGGCTACAAAATTCTTATGAAAGAGAGTTTAGTTAGGACGAGCGGGTACTGGTATGATATAGATATGGATGCCAGAATGAGGAAGACGCAGTGGCGATGGGAGACAAGATAGGCGCTAGTGGTTCACTGAATGGCGCTTTGTTTGCAGATTGTAATCCGAAATAAGGATAATTGGTCAGGTTTTTGCGCCTCGAGCTTCTGGTATATGCTAGATGCTTTGAGTTCTAGGTATTGGCCGCTTTAGGGAAGGATTGACTACCCCTTCTATTATTGGAGATCGAAATTTCTCAAGATGTTTCTATTTTGACATATTACTACGTCTGTTTTGGTGTTGAGCGCATACTTGTATGTTAATCTTAGTTCTTCTTGCATGGAAGTGTTGAATCATTCCATAGGCGCCGCTACCTCAAATTCTGTACTTCCTTCTGTATATAAGCAGTACTACATATTGTCTTTTTTGGTCGCGGTGATACTGTCCCGGAAGACTGACGTGTAACATCGGCTCCGAGATTGAAATATCAGTCATCGTATTTTCGTAGGCTCTGCGGACACGTGGGTAAAGCACACGCTGGTTCAAACAGTCGGCTGATGAATTTAGGATTCTTTAAGTGGATTGCGTCGAGGATCTTCTATTTGTACACTGGCATTATGTGGCGCAGTTCGGATACCAGTTGACGGAAACTTCAACATCGGTAGCCAATACTGACGATACGCATCCGTAGCACAATCTATAGATAGCACTTCGGCCAACTCATTCGTGGAAGCTCCCAAAAGAGCGGTGTCCCCCAAAACCAAACAATGCCCCCCGATCTCCTGACGCGCGTCGACAAACGCGCACTCGGAGGCGTCCTCCAGCGTCTCGTCATCGAGCGGTGAGAGCCAATATATTAGCCTCGGCTATGGGCGCTTCATTCGTGGCTGTGTAAAAGACAAATATCCTGTACCTGAATCGGAGGTACCAAAGTTGATAGGACAAAAGATGGGCACAGTGCAACCCAACCCACTGTCCCGGGATCGAAACTCGTTTTACTGTTCCACCAGAGATTTCTAGAAAGAGCCTGAATGGAGCGTACAGATTGCCACGTCGAGGAGGAGCTAAGCCTATGGGATGGGATGACGAAGCCGCATCATCATGGGTGGCGGTGAGGCGTATGCACCTGACGAAGTGAGATTGTAGGTATATAGGCAGCCCTCAATTTCCGGGTTGACCGCATCCGAAACTTCAGAAATCCATCGTGAACACAATAGAAGCCAAAAACACCACGAAAACTCGTTTCAAGTCTTGCGTCTCGCACCTTCCACCTGACCTTTACGTATTGAGCTTCATCAAATACTTCGCCCGCCAATTTGGCCTTCGCCCTCTCCATCTTATATTATCTCGTACTCTCTTCCAGATCCCCATATTCCTCATTCTCTACAAAGCACCATCCTGCGCATTTCGAACTCAAGCTCAGCGCATCCCATCATCACTATGCAGCTCTTCCAGCTTCTCATCGCCGCTGCCACAAGCAGCATCGTCGTGGCTGCACCTCTCAACCCGGGCGGCGTTAGTCCGCGCCAGCCAATTACCTCATCGATGGTCGAGGCTCGGAGTGGCGAAGCTCCTAGGTGCGGCTATGTTCGAATTCACGAAGGTGACGGCTACATGGTCGGTGTTTACTCGCGCGGCACGTGCGAGCCGATCTGGAAAGAGCAACAGGCATCCCTATTCCGCATCGATACTGCTGGGTGCAGTTGCAAGTTCTTCTCGCAAGTTTCTCGTCCGCAGTATAGAGTGATGTTTCTGACAATGAACAGCTCGAAGCAGTCCTGCGAGAACGCCGATCCGGTGCAGTCCTTCACCGGTCCGGCTGCATCTGAGGATAGGTTCGGCGGCGAGAAGCCGACATATGTGCAATGCAACAGGGACGAGTAGCCCTGTCGCGGAAACAAACGCTGTCTTGTGAGTTTGCTTAACGGATTTATGTTTGTGGGTACTATTCTGAAATTTCGGAAGGATTTGTATATGACGCCGGCGTCAGAACTTTGAGGCTTTTTGTAGGTCGGCGGCTCTAGCTGGGGGATGGTTCAAGGAGCGACGTTGATAGGGCGCACATAATTTCTCATTTGATCCACCTCTGAATCCCGCAGCCTTCCAACTTCACTACGCACGTGCGATGGTGACACGACTTCCTTCGAGAGCATTTATTTTTAGTCCTGTCGAAATATGCTTTGGTTGTTCGTTTGTACACCCATCGTGTCTCTCTAACGCATCCTCAGACGAACATCTTTTTTGAAAGTTAATTTTGATCCGTTCATGGCTTTTCTGCTCATTCCGAGTGCCAAAACGCTGCTGCCTCCCAACGTGCGGGCAGTGGCGCGCGAGGCAAATGTGTCAACAAGAGCAGCTGTACCTCCCACAATCATCTGTCGGCAATCTTGTCTACAAGCAATCCATTTGCTTCTCATCTCGCACCACACACGACATTCACAGAGCATCGATTGTTATCCCACAAAGCATTACCAACACAACTTACCCATAATCTTCGCTCACACAATGCGATTCACTGGCATCGTCTCCATCCTCGCCGTCGCCTCGACGCTCGTCTCGGCGACGGGTCCTCCGCACGATCCTCACGATGCTGGCGACCCCGACGATCGGATGACAGGAACCCTCGGCAAGTACAACACCACGATCGATGCGAGAGTACTGGGATACTTGCTTCGTCAAGCCGACGAGATGCAGCAAGGTCCCGGCGAGCAACTGTCCCAGGCCACCAACGCATCCGTCTGCGGCGGCATCTCCACCCGCAAGCCAGCCACAAGCGACATCATCGTTGGCGACGATCAATGCCGCAGCACCGGCGAGTTCGATGAATTCAATCTGGTCGAGACCTGTTTCTGTGCCTTTTATACGTAAGTAGCTTCCTGCCAACTTTGACTGAGCAAGTCGGAACGGAGCTGACACAGGGATAGGGAAAGGGACTGTGGTGGCCAGGCGAGCAATGGATTTCAAGGACCGCGCAATGGGCATACCGAGAAATCTCAATCGTACCGCTGCGCCATTGATCCAAAGTAGGTTCGCTCAACAACTAGCTGCTTGGGTGCGAAGCTGACTCTGCGCCAGGGGGAACCCAAAGTTACCGACACCTGGAGATCCGACCCCTGGTAAAGTTTCGGCTGCCGGTATGCGCGAACTGTATCGACCCTACATTTGTCTCTTCGTTATGACTATCCTGGTGGCACGGTACTTGTGAGAATATGTGGAAGATGACGCTATGAAGCATGCTCTTTGATGGCTGTAAGATGGTTGCGGTTGAGTTGGGGAGGACTCTGTTGTCGTCTCGTATGTGGGCACTTTGGACGCCGCAAGGCCGGCTAATGCCCATGAGGCTTCATTGTCGTGCACAGCAGCTTAGCTAGCTAATATCCTCGCTGATATCTTCAGGCTCAGTCCATTGTTTACAATATGTGTATCGTATTTCCTGTGAAGAAAAGGCAGTCATCTCGGAAGCAACCCGTTTCGCCTCAGCAACAATACTGGAACACCGCACATCAGGGAGACCATTTTCAAGAGAAAAGCATGGCTTCACACTCCACGCTGTCGCCGAGACAAAATGGTGAATGGTAATGTTTGCTCACGCCTGCCTCCTTTCATTCAGTGAAATTGATTGGCGGAGGTTCGACGCCATGATTCAAACGCCTTATTCTTCATCGCGCTCAACTATCAGCACTTCCCCAACTCGATAATTCCGACCTCAACATAACGCATATCGCGAACTCACACTATGCGCATCCCATCCATCTTCTCAGTCTTCGCCATCGTGAACGGTGCCATTGCAGCCATCGTCCAGGAATCCGCCGATGCACCAACGAAACTCCTTGCAGGCCGTGGCACCGAATCTACTCCGATTCCCACTCTCCTCCCTCAACCACCTCTCTCTCGTCACCAGCAGAAGCAACCCAAGCTCGACTTCTTCGGCTGGGTCAATGGCAACAAAGAGAAATCTCTCTCTCGTCGCAAGGACAAACAAACCCTAGAGTACGACCTCTTCGGTTGGGTCAATGGCGACGAGCGGAAAGGATTAAATTTGGCACACATAAAGATCGAACCTGTACGTATGGTAAACCTTGAAGCAGTCTAGAGCGTCTACAGGGCCCGAATCCTAAGCATTACAACTACAACTTACTAACCACCGTATTCACCTCCAGTTGTGGTGCACGGAAATTAATGGCGACGACAAGGCAGGTAATCTGAAAGAGTACCATGTCAATTTCGGCATGTTGTGCTTTGTCTACGAGTAGGCCGACCTCTCTATCAAGCGAGCATGGGTGGCTGATGTAAGCAGGGACGGCCACGACTGCGATCCTGGCAAGGGCAAGTCCGATGCGTGGATCGGCTGGGATAATAACGACAATGTGACTCTCACGCAGACCTGGAAGATCGGTCATTACGGTTGCAGGCACGAGAATGGATCGAACCCCAAGCAGGAGGACTACAGGAATTATCCAGGCGTAAAAATTGGTTCATAGGTCTTGAAGAGGCGATTTAAAGGGAACGGACTGTAGAGAAATGGGTGACTGGGGTTATGAGCATTAGCGTACGTATTATGGGATTGCGATGGCGTGAGTCTCGGTTCTTTTCGGTCGATGAGAATCGGACGCAGGCACTTCGCTCAACTTGGGTAACGTCTTCGTTATTCTAGTTGTTTATCATGGGGTTTTCCGGTCGTTACTCATTTATGACAATTACTTGCACGTAGCCTAGTTGATAGTCATCAGCTTTGCGGCCTATCTGAAATCGCCTGCTTTGTAATTGGGTTAGCCATGTGCATGTATCACGCTTCTGCCTTGGGGTCACGTAGCTCAGCCGCACAAAGCAGGTCACTATGCGCAACAGAGCAACTTTCAGCAAGAAGCAACCAGTACTAGCTTCTCTCCGGTCATGTTTACCGCCGTTGTGCCTGCCTGGGATTCTATTACCCATCGCCTCGGCAAAATCGCACTCTCCTGTTACTATGGTGTAGTTTGTGATTTGGAGTGACGAACATTCGACGGTTGCGTTCGACTCATTTCACGCATAACTTTGCGTTGCGGGGGCCCCGACATCAAGTTCAATTCGCTGGCAAATGGACTTTCCCCGCCGGGTGGTCGTTGCTTTTCGTACGACACTATCGCAGCAGACGCACGTGGCATATCGCACCACCCACCAATGTCACCGACCGAAGTCGGGGCTATTGATAAAGCTGTCTCCTCCTATTTCCCAAGTCTTAGTCACACTGACTCTTCATCGACTCATTCCCGGTTGACTCAACCATCAAACTCACCCCTGAAATCTCTACCTCCTCTTTGACTCACTCTCAATCCCGCCACTAACATGCACTTCACCAAGATCATCCTCGCCTTCGCCGCCTTTGCTGGCTCGGCCCTTGCCGCTCCCACCGCGCAGGAAGCCAACCCCGAAGCCCAGCTCGGCGATGTCAACGCTGCGTCCTGCGGCATGGTCACCTATTCCAACCGCATCGGCATGCCCATGGTCAAAGACGGGCGATGCCACAGCTTTAACACCGACGCCGAACTCCGACAGTACAACATCCTCAAGGGCTGTTCCTGTTTCTTTTACTTGTAAGTTCTGGTTCACTTCGTATCTATCGCATCGCATTTTGCAATGCCGGGCTTGTCGAATTCTGACGGTGTACAGTGACAACGACTGCGGCGGCAAGTGGATTGGGTAAGCTGCCCCACCGTGTAGCCAACACTTCCGACGCACCTACTAATTTTATTCCTACCGTTAGCTGGGATGGTCCCTCGAAGGGCAATACCGAGAAGAATGGACTTGAGGCCTACAAGTGCTTTCCAACCCGGCGTCAGATCTAGGTCTCAACCGGAGTGGTGGAGTGCGGCGACGGGGATGTCTTCCCCGTTTCCGGGGACGTGGTAGGTGATGCCCACCTCCAACATGAACCCCTGGCCTCCGCTTTCCAATCATATGCTAACGTCACACCGAAACAGTGATCGTGCCGCACCTCCATTGGCTCGATGGGAGTGGTTCGATGGACTGCGGTATTCCTCTCGATCGGCGACGATGCGCGCGGCTGCGGAGCCTGCAACATTGGTCGCCCGTTCATGATGTCTCTCGGCATCGGATATATGGGCATTAGTTATCTGGGTATGGAATACGTATTGACATCGACGATGGTATGACGGCATCTGTCAATGGTTTAGTAATCACATAGCAATGGTATTCTCGATCTACTCACACACTTGATTGCTGCCTCGCAGAGTCTACTCTGCCAGCAGCTCCATCTCGATCCAGTTGCTCTTCCCTGGTCTTGCTCATCATGCTCGTCAATTTTAATCTTGGTTCCTGCTATGCTACTTTATGCGGCAGACTTTCGCCTCTGCTGACCCCGCCGGAAATGTTCCGCGACTTCGTTGCTTCATCTGATGTGCCTTCGGTGTAACTTCCAGCACGGTCCACGCACAACTTGTCCCGCACTAACAACCCGGCCGCTACCGACGTTTTCGCAATTGCTGGCATGGCTTCGAGATCATGTCGTAGCAGACTGCGCTAGGACTGAGGAGCGCGGGCTCGACTCAGAATAGTCCGATGCCCGCCTTTCTGTGCGACGTTGGGTATGACTCCTAGTGATGAGTATAAAGAGTGTCATGCGGGGTTCGCTCATTTCGCAGTACTTACTCATTATTGGATTTGGAAAGAGACACTCATTATTTTCAAGTCATTGAACTACTGATGCGACATTGTTCGGTCATGTATCTCCTTCAGCTCGTCGGCCTGCTCGTAATCGCCGGAACGATTCTCGCAACGCCGACTCCCGAGTCCAAGCCGCCCGCGTACTGCAACAAACCTAAACCAACACCAACCAATTCTGAATTGAGTGGCTGGGTAACCTGGGCTAATTGCAACACTCGACAAAACTTTGCTCCGTGGGAAATCTGCAAGG